GGGAACCATAGCAAGTAAGAGGTTGTTCCACACTCTTCAAAACATCTAGTATCCCGCTCAGAGATGGGATGTACTTTATCGTCATACCCAGGAGAAATATGACTTTTCCGGATACAAGATGTACTATTTAATCGATAGCTGGGAAGAGGACATGGATTCATACATTACCCAATGGGATGTACGCGTTAGCAAAATGTTACGAACGTGACTGTAATTCGAATATCAACTCTACGATTTGTCACACACACACACACACACACACACACACACACATACATATATATATATATATATATATATATATATATATATATATATATATATACAGGTAAAAGGTAAGAACAAATGGAGTATAATTCCACTATCCGTAGCATTATTCATATTTTAAATTTACCTTGATTACATTTAATTTGTGATATCATTATAGAAGGAAATTCTTACACTTCTGAAAACCCTACAAAAACATTCAAAATAATTAAAAATTTAAACCGCAATTCCAAAAATGTGATTTATGCACTCAAATGCACAAAATGCAAGAAGTCATACATAGGTATCAGCCAAGCACTAAACCACAGAGTTTCCCTTCACAAAAGCAACATCAAATTACCCGAAAACAGAAAACACATCTTCAAATGTAATCAAGGTAAATTTAAAATAAAGCCAATATACTAACAGACAATTATTCATAGCTATAAATACAAGAAAAAAGCTTCATAAACAAATTTAAACCAGCAATAAACATATCAAGATCTAACACACAAAAACACACAGCATACACACATAATTATCAAAGTCGATTCTATTATGTTGATATAGAAGATTGCATGCAATATATATATATATATATATATATATATATATATATATAAACTCTTATCACAAGAAAGACATTTGAATCACTACCATGCAAAAAATTCATTTGTGATTTACAGTTCAAGTAAGTTTGATTTTGTCGACCTCCGTCAATATTGTTGTAGTTTTGTGTATTTATTTTGCTTTCTGTATGTGACTTCTTTTCCGTTATTTTGTTTTGATTTTTTGGATCGGTGCCGTGGAATCGCCACCATTATGGCGCAGTCCCAGCTTCTTGAATCGAAACCCACTGTAGTAAGCAAGAAATAGCCCCCCCCCTAAAAAAGGACCAGACTATTGTAATAGTCTAAAAAATAATTTCGAATAATTTATTTCCGGGAACGAATTATTACCGGTGCTGTCGCTTCAAGAGGCGGAAGACCCTAGAAACTTTCCGAAGGTCCTGGGTGTCATAACCTGGATTAGGCACACGGGGAGGGATCTGAAAGTTTGGGATCATCTTTAGGTAGTGGCCAAGGAAGCCTTTCCACACATTGAATGGTGGATGCGGAAACACCAGACTTCAAAAAGTTACAAAAATTCTGTGCTGTGAGGGTCCCTGTTATTCACCATTCCACGTTATACATGGCTCTAAATTTAACTTCTCCCACAATGTCGGCAGTATCGTCTTAGAGGGTCGCATAACGACAAAAATGGGGACAGCGAGCCTAAGACAATCCGCCGGGATCCTTTCTTCTGCAGATTTCCGTCTAGCCTGAGTAGGAGAATCAGACTTGAAAAATGTTTGAATGCGAGAGGCTTGAGGGATCGGAGTAAAGCTGTTCGCCTGCTTCTTGATCTCCTGTCTTTCAGCGTAAATATGGCTGCGATCCAAAAATCACACTTAGTTTCCGAGGCTGATGTGTACTGTCTAGCGTCTATGTCGTTTATTCAGAATACAGGTACTAACTGGGCAGAGGTGTTTCTTTGCTGGTTAAACGCACCTTGGTTGCGAGGGTGGACCTTGTCCATGTTGATGCGGGAGGTCGGTTGATTGTGGCCGATATTGCCGTGAGCACCCAACGACCAGACGGAGCGTGTCTCGTTTTTCCGTCGGTTAGGGACGTTCCTGGTGGATTCGTTGCGCATATTTTTAGTTGGGGACTGGAGTGACGTCCTGGATCCCAAGATCCCAAGACAGGAGGCGGGGAGCTGCCTGGAGGTCTTCGGGCGACGTAACCTGTTTAATTCTGATTAGTGAGTTTGCTTACATCGATATATACCAGGTCGATCACCCAGTCGGCTAGCAGTTAGTTAGGCATAGGTTAAACGAGATGGCTAACGAAGCCGTGAACATGGGCGCAGAATTGCGCAGGAAAGAGATTCGTCGAAGTTTCAATCAATAAATTCGTGCGGTCAAGACTTGGCATTTAAGAGGGTCGGCAGTCGCAAGTCTCTGAGATTTGATGGTTTACCCTATGAATTGTACTGCGTCTGTAACACATTTTTGTGCAGATTTTGACTGTCGTGTTCAACAACTGGTTCCGGCTGTGGTCCATTCCCAATCGGATCACCAGGGATGTGATCACGCTGTTGAAAAAGGGCAAGGATGGTGGGATGGAATTTGAAGATTACAGGCTCATAACTCTGCTAAACACAGTTAAAAATTTTGTCCAAAATCCTGACGGAGCGTTTGCAGTCAGTTGCTGAGAGTCTGTTGCGACATGAGCAGACTTGTGCTGTGAAGGGCCGAACAATTCAGAGCAACCCACATCAGGTCCACACAATCATACAGGGTGTAAAAGACGACGAGCAAACCACGCTGATCAGTATAAGTAACCCTGAGTTTTCGCTTACCTGGCTATTCATTCGGAACGTGCTATCTTTCAATGACATAGCCCTCAGATGGGGTGGGGCATATTTGACCGACTGTCAGCAGTGAGACCTTAGTTTAGAAGAAACGGCCTCGCACGCCTTCTACCATTGTCCTCAGGTGCTTCCGCTCTGGGACTATGTCGTCGAGTTAACGGCTGGTATCGCTCCAGATAAACTTGTGCTCATCGATCTCGCATACGCGCGCGATAATGTGTCACCCCCGTATTCTAGGATGAAACGAATGGTGTTTCTAACGCTGATAGCCGTGGCAACAATGGTGATCTGGACGACGTGAATGGAGGAAATCTGTTGATACACACGCTATTCTCCTCAGGCTCTGATTGTATTCTTTCGGTATCAACTAAAGGTGAAGATCAGAACTTATAGAAGGCGTTTGGTGTCTACAGATTTCAGCGAAAGGTGAGAGAAAGTAGCGACCTTGGTTTGTGTGAAAGGGTCGATCGTTGTATTCCTTTTTTTCCTTGGTCACAACGGGGCGTTTTCCTGTGAAACCCTCCCCTGGTTAAGTTTGACTCTCTTTGTGTACCTAGTTAATGTGAGTGAGTGTCATTCCCGGCCAGTTCTCGGCCAGTTCCCGGATTCTTCATTTTGTTATGATTCAAGTCGAGATTCCCTCCCAATTTGTTTATCTCCTCCTTTTCATCTCAACTGGTTCAGTCTTTGATTCCCCTGCGCCCATATTTATTTTATCCTTCCCACTCCATTAGAGAGTTAGCTTCTTGATTTTCTAAGAAGACAGAATACAGTGGCCATTTTTTGTGTGGTGGACAGGTTCTACTAATATCTATTTTGTTATATTTTACTTTGCAATTAGTGGTTCATACCCTGCCCCTCATTTCATACCATATTTAAATTTATATATATATATATATATATTCTAAGAAAATTTTAAATCACGGGGTGTTTTTGTCGGTTCCGTTTGTGTATGAGGTATCGTGGTAGATCTGGGCGTAATTCAAGGACTCACGTTTAGAGGTAAGACAACACAGCCTTTGCAACGAACACAATTCCAACGGTGAAATTTGGTGGTTGCAATATAATGGCTTGGGGATATTCTTCTGCTAATGGAACTGGTAATTTAAAGATAATAGATTGTAGAATGAATTAAAAAATATACCAAGATGTTTTGAACTTTAATTTGTTTGGGTCAGTAGTAAAGCTTGGACTCCCAAATGAATGGTTTTTGTAACAAGATAAATACAGCTAAGTCTACGAAAAAATGGCTTATTGAAAACAATGTCACTACACTCGAATTGTCATCACAGTCTCCAGACTTAAATCCAATAGAGAATTTAGTGTTTATTAAGAATTTAAATTAATAAAAGTAGCCCGAAAAACATCCTGGACCTAAAGATAATATGCAAAGAAGAATGGAGTAAAATAACAATGGAAACTTGCAAATCATTGATTAAAAGCTCCAGAAAAAAACTGATTGCAGTTGAATTGTGTAAGGAATATACTACATATAAATATTAAACAGGTATTATACGTATATATATTATATATATCATATAGTACAAATACTTTTTTCGCCTCCAAATTTTTTAATTTCATATAATTTCATTTATATAACAAGTTTTTGCTGATGTTTTCTTTTCATATTGCAGCATTATACCACGGTATACAAATATTATATAGATTATAAATTTCTTCTATAAAATCTATATTAAATTAAAAAAAAATCATTGTGTAGGAAAATTTATTTCCCCAACTCTCTCTCTCTCTCTCTCTCTCTCTCTATCTATCTATCTATCTATCTATATATATATATATATATTCAGCTTACTTAAAAAGCAATATCAACAAAGATATGCATTGACCTATCTTTGTATAAATTTTTCATTCTTTCTGTCTTTCGCCTACGCTTTATTTTTATTTAATTATTTCATTCCTTTATTTTCATTCTTTGTTTTATTTTCTATTTTCCTTTCCATTTTTTTCTCTTTTTCATTCTTCCATTTTCAAGTTTCATTTTTTATTCATTTTCCATTTTTCATTTTAATTATCTTTTCTTTTTTTCACATTTTTCCTTCTTTTTTCTTTCGTTTGCTTTTCTTTCCTTCTTCTTCCTCCACTCTTCGATTTAAGTTTTCCTTTCATTGATATTATATTCTTTCTTGAGTTCGTTGTCTTTATCTTCTTTTTTTCCTTCGGGTTTATCATCCATCCATCTTTTTTCTTTCTTTCTTTCTTTCTTTCTTTCTTTCTTTCTTTCTTTCTTCTAAGGATTATACCAACATCACTTTGAAGAATGAAAATAAAGGTACCCAAAAAGAAACAATATTTTCCGTTTACTCGAATCTATTTTCCAAGTGTGCACATATTTCTTTTTCCGTCTCATTTTTGCTGTTTCGATTTTTCGTCATTTGTCCTTCCGTTTTAACGCTCTGCTGAAGAAATGTTTCTAGACAGGGAGAAATGTAAACAAATTATTCGAACAACGCTTTGCCACAAAAATCCGAATAAAATGTTAGGTATTTTTCAATCCAAACATGCAAAAGTCACGCCGAATAGCATCACCTACACCGTATATACTCTTACATTGGTCGACTTTATAACAAAAAAAAATATGTCCGACCTAAGTGTGGTTATGTTTCATTCATTTTAAATTGGACTGTGATGACAAAAACAAGGATCATGTTCTAGCTTCAGTCATAAAAAAGACTATTCACAGGTTTACACCAGTAAAAAGAAACCAAAAAAAAAAAAAAAAAAGAAAACGACATGCACACAAAATAATATACCGAATGTAAAATTGTCCAAATCATGTAGCAGCAAAATTGTCCAATTGTTAGATTAAGTTTTGAATCGTTCTATTTTGGAAATGATTAAATTTATTTTACTGGAATTTGCTGAGGTTTTTATAACAATATTGGACTTTATTTTGAATAATATGAATGTATTTTGATCCAAGTTGAAATGATGACCCGTCTTGCTGTTGTGAGCTCTTGATCCAGTTTTTCTCTTTACTGTTCAATATTTTTAAACTTATTCACCATTCTCTTAATGGTTCTTGAATGGATTTGAGTATGAATGCTAGTATCATTACTGAAGACCTGAATGCTCAGTTTGAAAAACATAACAAAACGATTTGAACCTGTTCTCTTTCTAGCTGAATAACTCGAAGGGTTTTTCAGTGACTCTTACGAGAAATGATGTCAACATGGCTAAGCGTCTTATGTGAAAACCATGAAGAATGAAACTTAATTAGTTCGGTGGTTTTTAAGATGTTAAACAATTTGTGGGATGGACAATTATCCCATGCTGTTACATGATTTGGGCAATTTTGCTGTTACACGATTTGGGCAATTTTGCTGTTACACGATTTGGGCAATTTTGCTGTTACACCCGGTACTTATTATCAAGGAATCTCATATTACACTTGTCACAGTTTGTTATATCGGAAGAAAACGAGTAACTACCAATACCGAAGTTCGAGCGTGACTTATGAATATATGTTTTCCGGCAGGTGTATAAAAAGCGGTGTCAGGCTACTGACTGCTGTGATTATTGAGTGGAACTTTCCAGTCGAATTAGTGTGAACTATTGTGCGTCGGTGACTTGGGTTTTGATTTAGGATTTAACGGGCGTTAAGCCGAGCCGCGCTACTAACGAGGTATTAATTGAAAGGGTTAATCCTATTTGGTTGACTTTTTACTTCTTTGTTCTTGTTAAGTATTTATTTGGATTTGTAATACTGTTTTATTTAACATTGAAGTCTTGTGGTATATTTAATTATTAATGGCCACCGTACGTCACGAAACTAAATTGTAAGCTATCGTAGAATGTAAATAAGTTTATATCGAAATTCTTCTGACAAACTACTTTCTTAAAAACATAGGACACGCGGATGGTACCGTACTGATAGCGGGATCAGCAGGAAAATGACAAAACTCCTAGGAAAGGTAGAAGATGAAAGCAAGAAGAAAGGGTTTACTATTTAACTATAAGGAAACAATTGTAAGATAATCTGCAACAGACTCTAAAAAATGTGTGAGATTCGAATATCAGAATAAAGCACTATTGAACTATTTGAACAGACGACGGAAAAGTGTCACACAGAAATCCTAAGGCACCAAGGAATAGAGAAAGATGCCTTCAAGAAATTAAGCAAAGTATTACGACATAGAAAAATATTGTAGGAAACAAAGATAAGAGATTGGCAGTGTATCCTGGAGAATTTTCTTGATCTTCTGGAGAACTTGTTTATACTAACAACGTCGAATTTCTAAATACATATAAAGGGGATCTAAAAATCCATATAAATACATAAATATATAAAATAGACATAAGAAAAAGGGATGAAAATAAATATATAAATCCATATAAAATACATCTAAATCCATATAAAATACATATAAGGAAAAAGGGATCTAGAAATAAATACATATATAATTAGACATAGAAATGCATATATAAATCCATATAAAATACATCTAAATCCATATAAAATACATATAAGGGAAAAGGGATCTAGAAATAAATACATATATAATTAGACAGGAATGGGACTGTTGAAATACATCTAAATCCATTTACATATAAGGAAAATAAATACATTATAATTAGACATAGGAATGCATATATATGATCCAAATTCAGGAAAACATATAAGGAAAAAAGGGATAATATAATTAGACTAGAGTGACAGTTGTTTAAACGATCTCAAACTTAATACCAAGATCCAATGGCCAAGATGTTGTGGAGTTCTATGTCCAGAAGAAACATGGCACACAAAAAATGTTGGTAGTATTAGAGTAACAATTGTTTTCAGTTAAAATACTGATTTATATCTCGGGGTATTCCTATTGATGAAAAATGAATCTATCTATCCGAATTTGATGTACATAGAAACTATGGAAAATTGGGATATCAAAACCGTGATCTTTTGTTTTGATTTCGTTAATTAAGATAAGAAGCTGAAATCAATCTTTGAATGATTCCGGGGAGAAACACTAGCTAAAATTGTGAAGAGTTCCTCCTTTGTTCCTTTTTTTTTTCGTTTGGGAAAGGTACGTATCTATCTTTTCTTTCCCAAACTATGCGTTAATAGCAGGGTAGATTGGACACTCTAGCAATGGATGGCCGCGGTAATAACAATTTCAACCTGTTAAAAACGCTACTTGCCACAGAATCAGCAGTAGCAACAACATCTAGTGCAGTAAGGCTATGACCCGATACACCACAGTGGAGCCTAAAGGGCTAACACCCAGACACACACATACACACACACACACAAGCCCACACACACACATATATATGAAGTAATATTTTTTATAATAAGAATATTTATTTTTAATCTGAAAATTTTCATTATATTAAACGTTTTTTAAGTAGACATATGCGTTTGAGTAGACCGACCAGTACATTTTAAAACGATGTTTATTTAGTCTACGGCCCAGTGCGTTCGATATTTAATAAAGAAAATCCGGATAGTACATTTTCTTCATTAACTTTAACATATGACATTTATATATATATATATATATATATATATATATATATATATATATATATATATATATATATGGAAGATTTCAAAATCGACAAAATCGTGCATACGAGACGCTGGAAGCGAAAATCACACCACAGCTAATCACGTCACACATGACCACGCGAGAGTGTAAACGAGAAGTATTAAGTATGCGAAGCCGTTGGTATAAACCAATGATTTCTGTTATCAATAATTATACATATATATATATATATATATATATATATATATATATATATATATATATATATATATATATATATATATATATATATATGTGTGTGTGTGTGTGTGTTTTGTGTGTGTGTGTTAATAAATAAAACATATATATATATAATTATTTATTCAAAATTATAATAAAAATATGTTATAAAAGCAACTACAAAAATAGCCAGTTTGTGTTTTGTGTCTTTTCGAGTTATGGTGTTGAATTCAACACCATCACTTGATAAGACACCAGAAGTGCTGAAACAAAATGGATATTTTTGTAGTGATTTTATAACATATTTATGTTATAATTTTTGAATAAATTATATTTGCTCTACTCTGTATTAAGCACTCTTTTAGAAATAGTATTTTTTTGGTTATTTATTCCGTATACACCAATTCTATACTTTGCTACACACACACACACACACACACACACACACACACACACACACACACACACACACATATATATATATATATATGTATAAAGCGTTGAAACCTTAAACAGTAAACCCTATCTAAAAGCACGCTTAAATTCATGTAATCCAAGCACCAAGGAGGAAAGCTCATCAGACAAATTCCAATGAAAATATTTATAGAAAAGACAGAGGGAAGTCACCCCCCCACACACAGAATATTTTCATTCCAGCAAGTTTAGTTAAATAATTTACACGTATTATGTCTATTTATTTTAGTTTTAATCCTCTGAATTTCATAAAATAATCTATTGGTGGCTTTAGCTGATTGATAAAGAAAATTTTTAGTTAAGCAAGTACTTTCAATCTCATCTTAGATCATCTTTAGAATGTTAAAATATCTGTGTATGTGCCTATAATAGCTCCATAAATTCAAAATACTTTTTCACTGTTCGTGTACAGCATCTTAATATAATTTTTTTCAGTTATGCAAGGAAAGTATCATTTGTAATGTCTTTTAAAAAAGAAAAAATATTTATAATATTTTAATTAAGAATTTTTACATAAAACTTTGATGCTACAAACATTTAAGAAGTCATAGTTTGACTTTATTTTTGGTTACAATTCTCTTATATAAAGGGCCTCCAGAATTTAAAGTTTTCGCTTATTTTTATTTTGATGAAGTGCTAATGTATGTTCGCCTAATCTCTGCCCTAAAACTGAATGTGGAAATGAGTGTAAATGTTCTGAGATTGAACTATGCTCATTCAAGTGAAATGTAAGCCGTTTTGTCAACGTCGTCGTTGCAAAACCAACATATTAGAGATGCAATCTCCCAAAAATTAAATTTAAATTGATATACACATCCACATACATGCGTCTCTCTCTCTCTCTATCGCTCTCTCTCTCTCTCTATATATATATATATATATATATATTTATGTGTGCGTGCGTGAGAGAGAGAGAGAGTGTGTGTGTGTGTGTTAATTATTTCACCCCATGCCAGGCAATAAAATCTACTAAAACACAACAGAGGTGGGGTACTGCATGTGAAAGAATATAAGAAAAACAAAAGGGGAGAAAGCAATAAAAGAACATAAATTAAGACGGACGAAGATAGCAACTGACATTGCATTTAAAATTTTGAAGATCAAAGTTGAGTAGAAAGCAAGAAGTTGGAAGAAAGATCCAC